CAGACAGACCTTAACCTTCACTCAGAAATGACCTTGACTTTGAAGGTCAAATTATTAAAATTTTCATTTTTTTTGGGCTATTATTGGCTGTAACTTTGTTATTTTTGAAAGGATTGTCTTCAAACTTGAACATAATAATCTTCAAAGATAGCCCTTTAAAATAACCAGACAGACCTTGACCTTCACTCACAAATGACCTTGACTTTGAAGGTCAAATTATTGAAATTTTCATTTTTTTGGCTATAATTGGCTGTAACTTTGTTATTTTTGAATGGATTGTTTTCAAACTTGAACATAATAATCTTCAAGGATAACCCTTACAAATAAGGGGACAGACCTTGACCTTCACTCATAAATGCCCTTGACTTTGTAGGTCAAATTATTGAAATTTTCATTTTTTTGCCTGTAACTGGCTGTAAACTGAAACTGAAACTGTTTTATTTAATTAAACGCCTATTTCTATATACATATTCAATGGCGTTGTACAAAAGGATAATAAAAGTATGTACATATGGATAAAAAATCGAATATGCATGACAAATGAACTACAAAAAAATAAGTAACAGAAATCAGCCGTGTACAATATAAAGTATTAAAAAGTTAAAAAAAAAAAGAATAGTTATAAAAAATAATAATAAAAAAGAAAAAGAAAAAAAAAAAATTAATGGTTATTTAAGTAAAATTGTAAACACATTTCCACATCTCGATCAGTTTACAGCCCAATCACAATCTTAAAACAATGCGTAAAAATCTCTAAAATACTGCGAATTCACTTATATTCGTGGGCATGAAAGTTCGTGGTTTTATCAAAACGGGCATTTTCGTGGGTTCTTAAATTCGTGGATTTTCGTTTTCTTGTTAAAAAAATTCAGTAATCTAATGCAAAGTAATCTTAATCGCCGAACATTTTTACTTACAACATGTACATATCTTTACTTGTCACACAGCGGTTGTCAATAAATTTAATCCTTGCCTCTGGGCATAACTCTAATACAGCCAGTTACTGCCGATAATTGACTGCAATTAACACATTTATGTGACATGATATGCACCTCCATTGGACACACTGCCCCTGTAATTCGCTGATGTAAACATCGCATAATTTATACGACACCTGGCACGTTTTAACCAGCGAGATTAAAAGTTTACACTTAACATATTTGACAGTAAGTAACTACACGCAACGTCATAGCGACTGTGTAAATTTACATGCATATAAATTATTCTCGGTAAGTAAAACGAGTATATGTGGATCTTGTAAAAGTCGGTGGCGTCTTTAATGTTTACGGAATAGCATTCGCACAAATACTGATTAAAATTCATATAAACTGGAGCATTTAAAAACAACAAAAGAAAGAACAATAAATCTGTTTTAGCGATCGTATTTTTTTTATAGTTTTGTGTACTTACGACATTAATATCAAAGACTTTTTTTAATTAATAAGAGCAAACTGACAATTTTTATTAGCGCTAATTATTGCACTGCCTGGGTTCCAATATTTACTCGATTATGTCTAGTATTCTTGTTAACACAATCAAGTCCTAGTAGACTACAACGATCAAGTATGTATATGCGACATTTGTGACAGTAAATTGAGGACATATAATCGAGTTTTCTTTTAAGTTTCTTAAATATTGCAAACGGATTTGATATGTCACTAACCTGGTTATCTGTCTGTACTTTCATCCATTTCACGAAATATTGGCCGGAAAAGAGCCGACGCATGTTTGTAATATATAGAACAGAGACAGGGTAAGAAGTATTTGTTGGGATAAAAGTTTGTCGGATCTTAAATTCGTGGATTGACCTACCCACGAAAACCACGAAAATTCGTGCCCCACGAATAATAATGATTTTACAGTAGTAGGTTTTGACATTTTTCTTGAACATGTCCAAAGTCGAAGACTGTCTTATATACAGAGGCAATTTATTCCAGAGAGTTGGACCAAGGGCAAATACTACAAATTCTGGATAAATCCATAAGAAAACCCCAAGGTGCATAAGTACACATGCTGACCAACATTCTTGTAAACTTTCAGGCCTACAGGCTGTAACTTTGCTATTATTGAATGGATTGACTTCATGTTATAACAGAACATTCTTAAGAACAAGACCTTCATGTTTATCAAACTCAAATTGACTTGGGGCTCTCTAATGACCTTGATCTTGAAGGTTAAATTAGTGAATTTTCAGATTTGTGCATTAAATGACCATATATATTTATTGGTGTGTAATGTATATATAAATGCGTATATATATATATATATATATATATATATATATATATTAAAATGTGATAAATGTTCCTTGTGCAGTGTTTAAATAGATAAAATGATAATATTTAAGATATAACAAACTCTATGTAAATTCAGTAGCGCTTTCAATGCTTTCTTCGCATATCTTCAGCCGAAACTTTAATAAACAATAAACATATAAACAAATGACGTAACGTCATGAAAAAAAGCGGGAACGTTAAATGATAACGTATTTCCCGGCAAACACAATGTGGTTATTTATACTGTAAAATTATAATATTACGGATTGTACGGATTAATCCGTCTGTAGATTTTCCACAGTCTTTCTGGAAAAACTCTGGAAAATAACCGATTTTCCATGAATTTCCATGAATTTTCATGAAAACAAGCTTTTTTCCACAGTATTTACAGAGTACTCTGGAACAATTTTCATGGAGAACTCTGGAACTTGACTTTTTCATCAAAGAAATAACCATGAAACAGTTCTGGAAACTCTGGAAAGTTAACACTTAGACAATTTTCAAGGAGTTTTACTCTGGAAAACACTCATTTTTGAGAAAGTTTTGGACTTAGGAAATTTTCATTTGATTGCTGCATTTATGTATACTTCACTTAATACTTTAAACCTTAATATTTTTTCCTAAGTTAAAAGCATAAATAATCTTTTTAATATAAGACAGTTTTCTGGTTTTAAGACATAATTAAAATAAATATGGCATTGACACAATTGTAAACTGTTGACCAGATATTTAAAAACAGCAAGAACATTTTTTAATGACTTTAATTAATTAACATTGAGATTGGTCATACATGTATACTAACTGTAATTAAAAGTAGTAGTTAGCAAAATAAACACTTACAGCAAAACAAAATGAAACTGTAATAAGCCCATCAAGAGCTTAACTGTTTCTTTTTTTATTGCAAAAAAATTAAAAAAAAAAAACAACATGCAACCCCATTGCCACACTTTGGCATTGAAAATGCATTAAGTTATTTTTTTATTTAACTCTCATTTTTTTCAAGGTATCTCATATCAAGCCTGATCTGAGTGGTACATTATTATATTTACCCTAAGTTAGAAAAAATAAATACACAATTAAAGAGAAACAATTTAAATTTAAGAACAAATGTAATGCACTTATAGTTTTATTATAATAATTGATGATAAATTTATTATGTATCTCTATTGAAGCAGGGTCTTTCAAATAGAATGGTCTGGAGTCTGACCAATTTTACGAAAAAAGTTGTCTCGGCTGAGTCATGTGATAAGGTTATCTACCGACCCTGATCTGGCACAGTACATCACCGTTCAAAAAACAAAATATAAGCTAATGTTTTATTGAATTAATCAAAAAATGATTGAAAACTAATCCTGGATGCATTACACTATCAGTTTTTATTTTCAAAAATAACAATTTTGTAGATTTGCAATGAAATATGAAATTTACGTTCCCGGTGTCAAGGTAAAAATCTACTGCTCATATTTGAAACTAGGTCCTAGTTTCATAGGCTTTTTAATTTTATGCATTGTTCAATGACAAAACAGAAATTGATTTTACAGAGAGAAAAAGTTATTGAATAGTATCATGAAAAGATTTTATAATATTTCACTATGTTATTTACAAATATTTTATGTTTAATTTGATGCATTTTCAAAATGGCGCCGTTTTTCGGCAAAAATTCTGAACAAGCAATCTATATTTTTCAACAGATTATGGCTTTAAAAACATTATTTTCTGAAATATTTATATTTTTTCACAAGTTTAAAGATTTTTAAAGAACATCATGTTGTTAGAACTTTCATTTTTAGCTCGACTTTTCTATGAAAAGGGGAGCTATCCTACTCGCCCCGGCGTCGGCGTCGGCGTTAGCGTTGGCGTCACACCTTGGTTAAGTTTTTCGTACCACCCCACTTTATTTCAGAAGTATTACAAGTATGGCTTTGAAACTTACCATACTTGTTCACCATCATAACCTCCATCTACAGACAAGAGTACATAACTCTGTCAAGGTTTTTGACAGAATTATGGCCCTTTTTTGACTTAGAAAGTGTATTGAGCTTGGTTAAGTTTTTTGTACCACCTCACTTTATTTCAAAACCATTGGAGGTATTGCTTTGAAACTGACCATACTTGTTTACCATCACGACCTTCATCAACAGACAAGAGGACATAACTCTGTCAAGGTTTTTGACAGAATTATGCCCCTTTTTGACTTAGAAAATACATTGAATATGGGTAAAATCCACTTATTGCCTTAACCCTTTGAGATATTGCTTTGAAACTTTTAATGCTATTTCACATCATTACCCCCATCTGTACGCAAGAGAAGGTAACTCTGTCAAGGATTTGTTTTAAAAATTAAGGCCTTTTATCGACTTAGAATCTTGGTTAAGTTTTTAGTACCAGTCCACTTTTTGACTGAACTGTTTGAGATATTAATTTGAAAGTTGGAATACTTGTTTACAATCATGATTCCCAAACATGTCCAGGAGAAGGTAATTCTGTCAAAGATTTTATTTGAATTATGGCCCTTAACTGTCAATGTTTTGTATTATAGGCAAGCACTAAAAAAGTCGAGCGCGCTGTCTTACGGACAGCTCTTGTTACTCTTGTATTTAATTTTCACCCTTTTCTTGAACATACAGCAATCTATACGGGTTATACCGAGACAAGTTTAATTGTAGCAAGAAGGGTTAACGTTGCGTGTTTCCAGACCATTCTATTTGAAAGACCCTGATTGAAGTATATATTATTATGCCCCCATTTTGAAGAAAAGGGGGTATATTGCTTTGCACTTGTCGGTCCGTCGGTCCGTCGGTCCGTCGGTCCGTAGACCAAATGGTTTCCGAGTGATAACTAAAGAACCCTTAGGCCTAGGAACTTCAAACTTGGTATGGTGATTGGTCATGACCAGTAGATGACCCCTATTGATTTTGGGGTCAAGGGGTCAAAGGTCAAGGTCACATTGACCTTGTAAGCAAAAACGGTTTCCGATCAATAACTAAAGAACCTTAAGGCCTAGGAACTTCAAACTTGGTATGGTGATTGGTCCTGACCAGTAGATGACCCCTATTGATTTTGGGGTCAAAGGGTCAAAGGTCAAGGTCACATTGACCTTGTAAGCAAAAACGGTTTCCGATCAATAACTAAAGAACCTTAAGGCCTAGGAACTTCAAACTTGGTATGGTGATTGGTCATGATCAGTAGATGATCCCTATTGATTTTGGGGTCAAGGGGTCAAAGGTCAAGGTCACATTGACCTCTTCGGTAAAAACGGTTTCTGATCATTAACAAAAGAACCCTCAGGCCTAGGAACTTCAAACTTGGTATGGTGATTGGTCATGATCAGTAGATGACCCCTATTGATTTTGGGGTCAAGGGGTCAAAGGTCAAGGTCACATTGACCTTGTAAGCAATAACGGTTTCTGATCAATAACTAAAGAACTTTAAAGCCTAGGAACTTCAAACTTGGTATGGTGATTGGTCATGATCAGTAGATGACCCCTATTGATTTTAGGGTCAAGGGGTCAAAGGTCAAGGTCACATTGACCTCTTCGGTAAAAACGGTTTCTGATCATTAACAAAAGAACCCTCAGGCCTAGGAACTTCAAACTTGGTATGGTGATTGGTCATGACCAGCAGATGACCCCTATTGATTAAGGGGTCAAAGGTCAAGGTCACATTGACCTTGTAGGTAAAAACGATTTCCGATCAATAACGAAAAAACCCTTCGGCCTAGGAACTTCAAACTTGGTATGGTGATTGGTCATGACCAGCAGATGACCCCTATTGATTTTGGGGTTAAGGGGTCAAAGGTCAAGGTCACATTGACTTTGTAGGTAAAAACGGTTTCAGATCAATAACGAAAGAACCCTTAGGCGTAGGGACTTCAAACTTGATATGGTGATTGGTCATTATCAGTAGATGACCCCTGTTGATTTTGGGGTCAAGGGGTTAAAGGTCAAGGTCACATTTACCTCTTGGGTAAAAACGGTTTCCAATCAATAACTAAAGAACCCTTAGGCCTAGGAACTTCAAACTTGGTATGGTGATTGGTCATGACCAGTAGATGACCCCTATTGATATTGGGGTTAAGGGGTCAAAGGGCAAGGTCACATATACCTTGTAGGTAAAAATGCTTTCAAATCAATAACTTAAGAACCCTTTGGCCTAGGAACTTCAAGCATGGTATGGTGATTGGTCATGAACAGCAGATGACCTATTGATTTTGGGGTCAAGGGGTCAAAGGTCAAGGTCACATTGACCTTGTAGGTTAAAACGGTTTCCGATCAATTAACTAAAACGCTTAGGCCTAGGAACTTCAAACTTTGTATGATGATTGGTCGTGACCAGCTGATGACCCCTATTGAGTTTGGGTCAAGGGGTCAAAGGTTAAGGTCATGACCAGTAGATACTTGATAACCCTTATTAATTGTTTGATCACTGGGTCAGAAGTCATGCATAATAACCTTATCACATGACTAATTGGCTGCTGATAGGGGGCATACATGTTTTACAAACATATCTTGTTTATTTATTCATCCTGTGTAGAAGTAACTTATGCATAGTGATTAATTTCTGGAACATTCAAATCAGCATCTGAGCCACAATGTAAATATTTATGACCCCTCAAGTGGAACCCACTGGTTTCATAACTGACATTAAACTCACCTATCTGATATAAGAGAATAGAAAGAGGTAAAGCAAGTTTACAACATACTATATTACACTGTAGCTCTCAAGTAACTTAATACCCTTGCAGAACAAATCACAGGTCAGAACACTCCTTCCAGGCGGGTCATTTGAACAGAAGCATTGAAAGATAATGTTTATTAGTGCCTAACTGCTTAAAAGTTATAACTTGAAATATTATGTTTGAGCATTGGAAATTAGATAAGATGAGTTAAAACTGGACAAATTTACAAAAGTTTTCTGGAAATATGAACATTTAAACATGATTCAGTTAAAATGGAGGGAACTACATGTATATAACCATTTCTAACAGTAAGTACAAATGTATTTTTATTTTTTAACACTTACTATGTTAGTTTTTTCAAACTTTCTTTGCAAGTATACACTGTTTCAGTGATTGTATTTCTACATACATGTAACTTTTCAATATTAGATAGATAGTTAAGAAAATCTTTTTAATTTTTAAATAATGGCAGGAAATTTTAAATCAGAGATGATAATTTTCCATTCAAAATATTGGTGATTGAAACAGATTCCATATCAAGCAATGAATTTCCAAATTCACATTTAATAAAATTCATAATATGCCTTAATTGTAATTTCTTGTTACTCATGTAGATTTGTTTATTTTTTCAACATATTAGGTTGCAAACTTTCAAGTCTTGGAGTCACATGAGATGTTTCAACTCAAAGGATGTCAGATGAGGGAAAAGTGATAAATGTACTGTTGAACAGAACTATCCTGGTAATAATTTAGTTTGTTTTGTTGAAAAAAGTTGAAGTAACATGTTTTCATATAAATGCATGCTTTTTTTCAAAACTCTGAACAAAATGTTGTTCTTCATGTTTAATGCATATATTATTGTTATACTGACCCTCAAACTTTCAGTGGTAATTAAGTACTTGTGAAGGATTGAGTAATTTAAACTTCCATTACATACAGTTGTCATTATATAGATATAGGAAAAGCAGGGAAATAGTTGACACAAGTTTATCATAATGTTGTTTTTGACCAAAAATAAATTATTTTCATCAAAGCATGTTTACTTGATAACTCTGTGCTGATATTCTGCACAAATCATTTAATTGAAAGTTTTCCATCTTAACTTTTTTCACCCTTTCATGTTTTTTATCAATCATGTTTAAACAATACTAATTATATTGACATTGTGCATATAACACAAGTACATGTATTTATATACAATATATTCATATTTTTCAGTATCCATCGGAGAGGTCACACCACAAGTCAAGAAGATGTTGCATCATGTGAAGTGAAGGATATATACATGTGTACTAGATGGATGTTAAATTACATTTGTTTGAATAAAACACTCTGACTTAGAAATAATTGTGAAATGTGCAAATTAATATAAGTTTTTGAATTCTTGACAACTAGAGTGTTTTTTTTGATTTGCTAATAAAAACACCAATGCAAATTAAAAGGTCATTTGATTTTAGTATGCAACCATCATTTCAGTAATCCCAAAATGTTCCAGAGTGAATTCCATAGTAATTCCAGAATTATTATGTCTCCCCCACCTCGGGGGGAGACATATTGTTTTTGCCCTGTCCGTCCGTCCGTCCGTCAGTCCGTCCGTCCATTCTTCGTTTCCGGACGATAACTAGAGTTCCTTTTGACCTACAGCTCTCAAACTTCATAGGATGAATGGTCTTATTGAGCAGATGATCCTTATTGTTTTTGGGGTCAGTAGTTCAAAGGTCAAGGTCACAGTGACCGTTGGTCAATTTCTCGTTTCCGGATGATAACTAGAGTTCCTTTTGACCTACAGCCCTCAAACTTCATAGGATGATTGGTCTTATAGAGCTGATGATCCCTATTGTTTTTGGGGTCAGTAGGTCAAAGGTCAAGGTCACAGTGACCGTTGGTCAATTTCTCGTTTCCGGATGATAACTAGAGTTCCTTTTGACCTACAGCCCTCAAACTTCATAGGATGATTGGTCTTATAGAGCTGATGATCCCTATTGTTTTTGGGTCAGTAGGTCAAAGGTCAAGGTCACAGTGACCGTTGGTCAATTTCTCGTTTCCGGATGATAACTAGAGTTCCTTTTGACCTACAGCCCTCAAACTTCATAGGATGATTGGTCTTATAGAGCTGATGATCCCTATTGTTTTTGGGGTCAGTAGGTCAAAGGTCAAGGTCACACTGACCGTTGGTCAATTTCTCGTTTCCGGATGATAACTAGAGTTCCTTTAGACCTACAGACCTCAAACTTCATAGGATGATTGGTCTTATTGAGCAGATGATCCCTATTGTTTTTGGGGTCAGTAGTTCAAAGGTCAAGGTCACAGTGACCGTTGGTCAATTTCTCATTTCCGGATGATAACTAGAGTTCCTTTTGACCTACAGCCCTCAAACTTCATAGGATGATTGGTCTTATAGAGCTGATGATCCCTATTGTTTTTGGGGTCAGTAGGTCAAAGGTCAAGGTCACACTGACCGTTGGTCAATTTCTCGTTTCCGGATGATAACTAGAGTTCCTTTAGACCTACAGACCTCAAACTTCATAGGATGATTGGTCTTATTGAGCAGATGATCCCTATTGTTTTTGGGGTCAGTAGTTCAAAGGTGAAGGTCACAGTGACCGTTGGTCAATTTCTCGTTTCCGGATGATAACTAGAGTTCCTTTTGACCTACAGCCCTCAAACTTCATAGGATGATTGATCTTATAGATCAGATGATCCCTATTGTTTTTGGGGTCAGTAGGTCAAAGGTCAAGGTCACAGTGACCGTTGGTCAATTTCTCGTTTCCGGATGATAACTAGAGTTCCTTTTGACCTACAGCCCTCAAACTTCATAGGATGATTGGTCTTATAGAGCTGATGATCCCTATTGTTTTTGGGGTTAGTAGGTCAAAGGTCAAGGTCACACTGACCGTTGGTCAATTTCTCGTTTCCGGATGATAACTAGAGTTCCTTTAGACCTACAGACCTCAAACTTCATAGGATGATTGGTCTTATTGAGCAGATGATCCCTATTGTTTTTGGGTCAGTAGTTCAAAGGTCAAGGTCACAGTGACCGTTGGTCAATTTCTCGTTTCCGGATGATAACTAGAGTTCCTTTTGACCTACAGCCCTCAAACTTCATAGGATGATGATTGGTCTTATAGAGCAGATGATCCCTATTGTTTTTGGGGTCAGTAGGTCAAAGGTCAAGGTCACAGTGACCGTTGGTCAATTTCTCCATTTCCATTCCTGTTTCCATTCACAGTTATTCTCAGCAGTGGGGGAGACATGCGCTTTTTTACAAAAGCATCCTCTAGTTTCAAGGCTAAATGGCATCTTACTCCAGATCCTATTAACTGTGGAACTTTTTCCAGAGCGGCTCCGGAACATTTTCCAGAGTAACTCCGGAACATTTTCCAGAGTAACTCCGGAATATTTTCCAGAGTAACTCTGGAACATTTTTTCCAGAGTATTATGTCATTTTAGCGGACCAATTTCCAGAGTTGCTTTGAAAACTCTGGAACATTTTCATGGAAAACTCTGGAAAAGTTTCATGAAAAAAGCTCTGGAAATTCATGGAGAAAGTACATGAAAATTCACATTTTTTTTTTCAGTTTTCTTTGAACAACTCCGGAAAACTAGTCCGAATTATCCAGAGTTGGCAATTTCCATGAAAATTCCGGAAGTTTTCATGGAAATTCATGGAAAATGTACGGACGGGATTTATTATGCTCAATGTCCGTAATATTATAATTTTATAGTATAAATAACAATAATTATTGTGTTTGCCGGGAAATATGTTATCATTTAACGTTCCCGCTTTTTTTCATGACGTTACGTCATTTGTTTATATGTTTATTGTTTATTCTATCACTCCACATGATTTTGTCACTATAGACAAAGAAGGAAAAAAACTGGTGTTAAACTGTCAGTAAACACCAGTAAGGGACTACTTGTATATGCGCTATTATGTTTTTACCCTCCATTGTATAGTTTATGAAGCATTTTAAAGCAACAGTAAAAAGCATTTTTATTTATATTTTCAGTTCTTATAATGTTTTCTTTTCATACAATACCGAAATAATATCTCACATACACTACCGCCATATATTAGATCCATATCAGTTAATAAATATTTTGACAAAACGGCGCCAATCCGTAAGCAGCGTAATGACGTCATCCTAAGTAAACAACTCATTCATAAACAAGCTGACGTTATTTCATACATACAAGAATGATAAATGGGGCACTGATGTAAACACAATACGACGTAAGTTTTTATTGTTGAAAACTTGATAAAATAACGTTTTTTTCTTATTATTTCTTTTGTTTAATAATTTTTATATCTTCGCAACAGTAGGGTGCGAAAATCGAACAGCGTTGTACGAAAATCGGCACCGGAAGTTATTTCCGCTTGAAAAATGACATTAGTGATTTTCCTTATTTTATCATGTTAGAATCGAAATAACATCGTCCTGAGAGGTGTATATTGGCTATTTAACACTGGTTTTGTCGTTTTGATGCGACAAAATTAACCACTCAGGCCTACGGCCTTCGTGGTCAATTCCTACGCATCAAAACTCCAAACCGGTGTTAAATAGCCGATATACACCTCTCAGGACGATGTTATTTCTTAATTAAAGTTTCGGCTGAAGATATGCGAAGAAAGCATTGAAAGCGCTACCGAATTTACATAGAGTTTGTTATTTCTTAAACATTATTATTTTATCTCTATATATATATATAATGCATATATATATAAATGGGTATATATACGAGAGTTTTCCCAAAAATTTGTGCACTACAGTTATTGTTGTGAGAGTTATTGATAAAAAGGCATGAATTATATATCACTTGAAGATGAAATCTGTCTAAAATAAGGAAACAAAAGAAAAATCTCTGTGTAACCCAGGTGTCCTGGAAAAGAATCATACAGTAACCTTAGTAAGGTAATACCGGTGATTGCCCTTGACTTAGTAAAAATTTGCAAATTACAACTTGTGTCGCATGTAACTCAAAAAATATTTGACCTAGAGTCATGAAACCTACAGGAATGTTGATCTGCATGTGTGGTTTTGCACCTGGGTATTTTTGTGTGGATATTTTTGGTAATTTTAGAGTTATTGCCCTTGACTTAGTAAAAATTTCCAATTTTCAACTTGTGTCGCACATAACTCAAAAAGTATTTGACCTATAGTCATGAAACCTTACTGGAATGTTGATCTGCATGTGTGGTTGTGCACCTGGGTATTTTTGTGCAGATATTTTTAGAGTTATTGCCTTTGACTTAGTAAACATTTACAATATTCAACTTGTGTTGCACGTAACTCAAAAAGTATTTGACCTGTAGGCCTGAAAGTTTACAAGAATGTTGGTCAGCATGTGTAATTATGCACCTTAGGGTTTTCTTATGGATTTATCCAGTATTTGTAGTATTTGCCCTTTACTTAATAAAAGATTTTTAGTTTTCAATTTGGGCATATGTAGCCAAAAACAATATTTGACCTAGAGACACAAGATTGACAAATCGGTGGAGTGTGGGGGCACCTGTGTCCTATTTACACATTTCTAGTTATTTGCTTAAATACAAGTTAAAATGAAATTTCCTCAATTTTATCTTGAATAAGAAATTCTGTTTTCCCCTCTCATGTAGTCTCAAATTTAATATGAATTTCTTGTAAGTACATGAGGTTTAGAGCCAAAAAATAAGTTAAAAAATCAACATTAAATGAAAATGATATTTATTTTAATCAAAAGTATGAATGATGGCTTGTTTTATTAAGTTAAACAAACAATTTTAGAAGAAAAACAAGCTACACTATTCTGAGCTTAATTCCACGAAAAGTCAAAAGTAAAAGTCAAAAGTACATACCGGTATTAGGCTCCATGTAGAGCCATGTAAGCTTACGCCATTTTTACACGATGAAAGAATAAAATGTGTTTGGTTCAAAGGGATTTCATTTGGATTCGATACATTTACATCTATTCATAAGAAAGAAAACATATTTGAAGATTGTTACAGACAATGAATAATTGTTCACAGATGTGTATATAAATATACAATCAAGAATCGACTAGGAATTTGGAAAAAAATGGAATTTTTTGAAAGGCTGTCTTACAACGCTGGGTTATTAGTATCAAAGGGGGATACCTTGGCATCTGTCGTCCGTCGTCATGCGTCAACAATCATCTTCTTTGAAACCGCTGGAGAGATTTACTTCAAATTTGGTCTGTAGCATCCTTGTGACAGTCACACCTAAATTTGCTCATATGATTTCAATTGGCCCCTTTTAGGGGTCAAGAGAGCTAAAAATAGAAAAACCTTTAGACATCTTCTTCTACAGAACCGATTGGTGGATGATCACCAAACTTTGTCTGTAGCATTCTTAGGTAGTCTTTTATCAAGTTTGCTCATATTAATTTGATTGGCCCCTTTTAGGGGTCTCTAGACCTAAAAATAGAATATCGTTTAGACATCTTTTTCTACAGAACCAATTGATGGATGATCACCAAACTTTGTTTGTAGCATTCTTAGGTAGTCTTTTATCAAATATGCTCATATTAATTTGATTGGCCCCTTTTAGGGGTCAAGGGAGCTAAAAATAATATAAACCTCATATTAATTTGATTGGCCCCTTTTAGGGGTCAAGGGAGCTAAAAATAATATAAACCTTCAGACAGCTTTTTCTACAGAACTTATTGATGGATGCTCACCAAACTTTGTTATTAGCATTCTTATAGTAATCTTTTATAAAAATTGCTCATATCTATTTGATTGGCCCCTTTTAGGGACTGCTAAAGCTAAAATACCCCAGACCATGGCATTTCTTCAAATTTTAGTTTAATGAAAGGGAAACAACTCGTGTTGGAATGTCTTTCATACATGTGACTGACCTCTTTCCTGATGAAATTATTTGAGGTCATGACCTCTGGCAAGAGAAATGATATTAGCACAGTATACAGGATACATAAGGACTTAGTATCAAGCTTTATTTGGTTTCATTCATATTCACTTAATTACATCACTACATGCAGTGTTTTCTCTAGAGAGCGTTTTCTGCGTTTTTGACGCAGTACTTTTACATTTGACGCGGTAATATTATAGCCGTGCGTTTTCCGTGATGCATATTTTTGCGAGGGTCGTAGTATACATTTTTTTCTAAAAATTGCATGAATTTCATCAGCTGATCGGTCACATGATTTATCTTAGACGCTTTAGTGATTATTACACATTAAAAGCGCTCAGACGCTTCAGATTGTGACGTCATTATCCGGGTAAATTCACAATGTCTGCTTCGAAAAAAAAGCAGTTTAGATTGACTTCATTCTTCAATGAAGACAATGTTAACGTTGATGGGGCGACAGAATCTACCGTAAACAACTCTGCACCTATACCAAATGAGGTTTCCAAACCAAATTAACTGAGAAATCCAAGCAAAATGATAATGCTCCGGAGCGAGTTTTTCGTACCGAGTGGCTTGAAAGCAATTTTTGGTTGCGGTATGACGGTAATAAAATGACTTGCACAGTTTGTATAACTGATACTAAAGACAATCCATTCACATTGGGATGCACAAACTTTAGAGTTTTGTAGTACAATGGTACTGGTTACGGGAGTTGACGGAAGTTAACGGAAGGTTCCAGACCAAACGGAACTAGTGTGTTAGGCTTGACAGTTGGGCGCCATATTAGTGTAAGTTATAAAGAAAAAATGTTCCATCAAAATTAACCCTGCTGTAGTGGTCATTTATTCTGCATTATTTTATACTATTACTACATAGTCTCATGGGAACACACTTGCAACATAGATAGTTTTTTAACAAAGCCTCCAAAATATTAGGGCAAAATATTTCAATAACTAGAAGGGCAAGTAAAAGTTGAGCTGGACTGGTCTTCAGGAAGTTCATTTGAAAAATAACACTGAAAAACAGTTTTTTCTGGTGAGCGACTCAGGGCCATGATGGCCCTCTTGTTTACTTATCTTTCTGGCTGATGACTGTCATTGCTTTTACACATTGCATTACAGTTATTGCTCGTAGGATACTTAAATATGTCCAACAAGAGCAGTGGAAGGAAGTGTATTTCTCAGACTGTTGTGAATGAAATCAAAAGTAAAAAAATTAAGAGACAATATTTGGTGATTTGTAAATTGGATTAATTGAAGTAAGTTTTATCTTTTTGATTACGTTTGAAATTTAAGAAATTTAAGTTATTTATCAATTTCAGCTTAACTTTGCTCTAAACAGACCTGAATATGTCAGAATCAAAGCGAAAATAAAAGTGAGGTACCACATGGGGAAAATCTTGAAAAAGTAGTCTCTTCATTGAAAAGTGTGAAATTATATTTTGATAATTTTCCCTGTGAAATTATGAAATATAATTTTCACATATAAATCAGTAATGGACTAAAGGCATGAATTTAATAATTGTATTTTCAGCCTAAGAAGTACACAAGAGGTTTTGTCCAGCGGTTAAAGGGAAAGCAAGGTCGTTTCCGTGGTAATTTGTCTGGTAAAAGAGTAGATTTTTCTGGCAGGACAGTTATCTCCCCTGATCCAAACATGGGAATAGATCAGGTATTTATCTTGGTACTTTATTTGTTTCTTCCACAGTACATTATTGTTCTCTTCATTAAAAAAAATTACAGTTTACTATCCAGCACTGAGGAAAGTGGAGTGCTCTGCTCCTTAGACAGCTTTTAGTGCATGGGGGTCCCGGGCCAAGTTGTTAAGCTCATTGACTTTAAACCTCTTATCTCTCACAGTTGTGGGTTTCAATCCTGACAGGAACTGAGGATTATTTCATGTGCAGAAGCTGTCCAGGGGGGTGTCCGTGGCAGAGTGGTTACAGTCATTGCCTTCAAACCACTTGCCCCTTGCTGTTGTGTGTTCGAATCCCTATAGGGACTTTGGATTCTTTCATGTGAGGAAGCTAGCCAGCTAGCTTACGGAACATCGGTGGTTCTACTCAGGTGCCCGTTCGTGCCTGAAATAATGCACGGAAGGGCACCTGAGGTCTTCCTCCAGCAGTAAAGCTGGAATGTCGCGATATGACCTATACTGTGTTGATGTGATGTTAAACCACCACCCCCCCCCCCCCCCCTAAAAAAAAAAGAATGAAAAAGTTGAGAAGTCGCCATATGGCCTATTCTGTAATGATATGACAGCATTGATTTTTTAGCTCAACTGAACACAAAGTGCACAAGGGTGAGCTTTTGTGATTGTCCTGCGCCTCTCATGCGTCATGCTTCCTTAAAAAATTGGCATTAAACTCTTAAAACAACAACTCCTCCTATACCTATTGTTAAAACTAAGCAGGAATGTCCCTCACATGAAGCCCTTTAAAAATTGTTCAAAGAATTCCATTCATGCTAAATTCTGGATGCCATGGCAACCGAAAAATAAAACTTAAAAAATCTTCTTGTAAAGAAACTAAAGAGCTAGATATTTGACATGAAACATCTTCTAGTGGATATCTACCAAGTTTGTCCAAATAAATACCCTAGGGTCAAAATTGGCCCCACCCCAGGGGGTGATTTATTTTCCTTATATGTATATAGTAAAAACATCCTCTTGTGACAATCCAAAGCACTATAGATGAGATATTTGGCATGAAACATCTTGTAGTGGATGTCTACCAAGTTTGTTCAAATAAATGCCCTAGGGTCAAAATTGGCTCCGCCCCAGGGGGTCATTGATTTTCCTTATTATAGAGTTATTGCCCTTTGTTACTTTTTCATTGCTTTTTTCTTGTCCAGGGCATAACTATATACTGATAGTTGGAATTCAATACTATTTCATACAATGGTCAAGTATATTGAGAGGAAGTGTAGTGCACAGAAACTATAAGTCTTTTCTTGACTTATTTAAAAGTTTTTGCCCCTTGTTACTTTTTATTGTCCAGTGCATAACTTGAAAATTAATGGTTGGAATTCAATGAAACGTTATACAATGATCAAGGGCAGTGAGATGAAGTGCAGTGCACAAGAACCATAACTCTACTTGGATTAATTACAGTTATTGCCCTTTGTTACTTTTTTGTCCAGTGCATAACTTGAAAACTGGTAGTTGGAATTCAATACAACTTCATACAATGGTCAAGCACAATGAGAGGAAGTGCAGTTTACAATAACCATAACTCCATCTTCAGTATTTATAGAGTTATTGCCCTTTGTTCCTTTTCCTTGTCTTTCTGGACTTGAGTAAATCAATAAAATTTCATCAATGGCCAACCACATTGAAAGGAAATGCAACATACAAGAACCACAACTATCTTTATTTGCCCACAACCATAACTCTATTTCAATTCTTTTACAAGGTATTCTGTTACTAGTAACATCCTCATTTCCGAAGCTGTCTTGTATTAATCACATTTAGTGATAGTTCTAGTTAATATAGTCAAATTATGTTGTTCCTTTTCTACTTTTTTGTAATATCACTCATTGTTCAGTTGTCGACTCACTTCGTTGATGTACTTTTGTTTGTCCATAATAACGATGGTATTGGATTTGTCTGCCTTTTTGATAACAATATTTGTATCACGAGAGAGGTCTTTAAGCGACTGGAGTTCTTGCTTGGATATATTAGGATGAAACCGTTTTTATTTAGAAGAGTGAATAATTTCATTACTTATAGCCTCAATATAAAAATCCAAATAATTTTTAGCTCACCTGAGCATGCTCAGGGTGAGCTTTTAGGATCGATGATTGTCCGTCTTCCGTCGTCCGTCCCGTCGTCCGTTCACATTTAGTTGTTAACACTCTAGCGGTCGCATTTTTGCCTCAATCATCATCAAACTTGGTCTGGATGCTTTATTATCTAGTTGATAGCTCGGATGAGTTCGAACATGGGTCATCTCGGATGAGAAACTAGGTCACAAGAGCTAAAAATAGAAAAACCTTGTTAACACTCTAGCGGTCACATTTTTGCATCAATCATCATCAAACTTGGTCAAGATGCTTGTCTAGGGGATAGCTCGGATGAGTTCGAACATGGGTCATCTCGGATGAAAAACTAGGTCACCGGAGCTAAAAATAGAAAAACCTTGTTAACACTCTAGCCGTCACATTTTTGCATCAATCATCATCAAACTTGGTCAGGATGCTTATCTAGTTGATAGCTTAGATGAGTTTGAACATGGGTCATCTCTGATGAAAAAGTAGGTCAACGGAGCTAAAAATAGAAAAACCTTGTTAACACTCTAGCGGTCACATTTTTGCATCAATCATCATCAAACTTGTTCAAGATGCTTGTCTAGGTGATAGCTAGGATGAGTTTCGAACATGGGTCATCTCGGATGAAAAAATAGGTCACCGGAGCTAAAAATAGAAAAACCTTGTTAACACTCTAGCCGTCACATTTTTGCATCAATCATCATCAAACTTGGTCAGGATGCTTATCTAGTTGATAGCTCGGATGAGTTCGAACATGTGTCATCTCGAATGAAAAAGTAGGTCACCGGAGCTAAAAATAGAAAAACCTTGATAACACTCTAGCGGTCACATTTTTGCATCAGTCATCATCAAACTTGGTCAAGATGCTTGTCTAGGTGAAAGCTCGGATGAGTTCGAACATGGGTCATCTCGGATGAAAAACTAGGTCACTGGAGCTAAAAATAGAAAAACCATGTTAACACTCTAGAGGTCACAATTTTGCCTCAATCATCATCAAACTTGGTCAGGATGTTTGTCTAGATGATAGCTCGGATGAGTTTGAACATGGGTCATCTCGGATGAAAAAGTAGGTCACCGGAGCTAAAAATAGAAAAACCTTGTTAACACTCTAGCGGTCACATTTTTGCATCAATCATCATCAAACTTGATCAAGATGCTTGTCTAGGTGATAGCTCGGATGAGTTCGAACATGGGTCATCTCGGATGAAAAACTAGGTCACAGGAGCTAAAAATAGAAAAACCTTGTTAACACTCTAGTGGTCACAATTTTGACTCAATTGTCATCAAACTTGGTCAGGAAACTTGTCTAGGTCATTGCTGGGAATAAATTGAACATGGGTCATCTCGGATGAAAAACTAGGTCACAGGAGCTAAAAATAGAAAAATCGTGTTAACACTCTAGTGGCTACAGTTGTGATCCAAATATTCTGTTAATTGGTCTGAAAGTTTGTTTTGATGATTTCTAAGTCAAGATCGAACATGGGTCATCTTGGATGAAAAACTAGGTCACACCGCCCAAATATGGAAAAACCTTGTTTACATTCTAGTGGTCACATTTTCGACTCAATTATCATCAAATTTGGTCAGGATGCTTGTCTAGGTAATTGCTTGGATGAGTTCGAAATCACATGTGAAACTAGGTCACCGGAGCTAAAAAATAGAAAAATCTTGTTAGCACTCTAGTTGCTACTGTTTTGATCCAAGTATCCTGGAAATTGGTCTGAAAGTTTGTTTTGATGATTTCTAGGTCAAGTTTGAATATGTGTCACCTGGGTAAAAAACTAGGTCCACCTGCTCAAATATGGATAATCCTTGTTAACACTGTAGTGGTCACATTTTTGACTCACCTGTCATGAGATTTGGTCAGAATGCTTGTCTAGGTAATTGTTTGGATGAGTTTGATAAGTCAGGTGAGCGATCTAGGGCCATCATGGCCCTCTTGTTTATTATTTATGTCTCTCTCGCTTGATGGGGTAAAGATAGATGATGTTTTATTATAGAATGGCAAATTTTGATATTCTTCTTTTTGCTTTTTTATCATCGTTTTCGTTGATATCATTTTTAAACAAATCGTTGAAGTACTTTTTTAGTCTTAAAAGTCTTGAAAAATGAAAAACTTCTTCCGCTAATAATCTTCATAATAATCTTCAAGGATAACCCTTAAAAATAACCAGACAGACCTTGACATTCAATCATAAATGACCTTGACTTTGAAGGTCAAATTATTGAAATTTTCATTTTTAGCTCAACTATACGAAGTATATGGAGAGCTGTCCTACTCGCCCCGGCGTCCACGTCCAGATTTCAGATTAAAGTTTTGGTGCAGTAAAATATTTTTCATTATAACTTTGTCATTTCTTAAGTTATTAACTTCAAACTTCAAATATATGTTCCTTATCATCAACCACATCTTATATGGCAAGGTTCATAACTATAGCACCAATATTTTCAGAGTTATCTCCCCTTGAACTTAGAATTTTCCTTAAAATATATTATTTTTTAATGTTACTTATTAATTTCTTAATGGATCAAACTTCAAATATATGTACCTTATCATTAACCACTTGTTATGTGACAAGGTTCATAACTCTAGCACCAATATTGCAAGAATTATCTCCCCATCAACTTTGATTTTTTTACTTGAAAAATGTTATTTTTTACTATAACTTTTTAGCTCACCTGTCACAAAGTGACAGGGTGAGCTTTTGTGATCACTTTTCGTCCAGTGTTCGTCCGTCCGTCGTCCGTCCGTCTGTCGTCCGTCCGTCGTCCGTAAACTTTTACTTTAAATGACATCTCCTCATAAACCCCTGAGCCAATTTCATCCAAACTTCACAGGAATGTTCCTTTGGTGGTCACCTTTAAAAATTGTTCAAAGAATTTAATTCCATGCAGAACTCTGGT